CTGAGAGAAGCCCAGAAGTTGGATCAGGATCTCTCTAGGGCTGGGATTGGGCACTCCCTTCCCCAGTCCAAAGTCTCACCCTATACCACCTCATCCCCAGGGACCCAGGACCATGCTCAGCCCCACCTTGGGCTTCTTCTCCAAGTCAGTCTCCGTCTTGGGACCCAGCAAATGAAGGACCTGAACAGAGACCAGAGTCAGGCCTGGGACAGGAGTGTTTTCTTTCCAGGCCCAGCATCAAGATAAGTAATTTACCTCAGTCATCACCCTCTTATGATTCTATGCCAGCACCTTAAATGAAGATGTCCATCTTCAAATGAGATGAAGGCCACATCACCCCTATTTACAAACTGAGGGAACTGAGGTTCAGAGTAAAGCAACTAACCCCAAATTAGGCACAACCCAGATGCCTGAGTTTTTCAGTGCCCTTCCAGATGCTGTCCCCTCCACACCAGGCCCTATTTATCAGCAGAATAGGGAGAGGGTCTCCTTCCCGCGAACCCCATTTATTCTCTCAGTGGCTCTATGCCCTATCCACGGCAGGGTCTTTGCTTGCTTCAGCTCAAGGAGGCACCCACCTGCATGTCCACTTCATGCTTGATCATTTTGCCATCTGCCCACTTGAGCATAGCCCGAGCCTCTCCTAGAAACGTGGGCACAAGGAGCTGCAGAAAGGCAAAGGAGAGCACTTCCCACCGTCTTTCCCAAGAAAAGGTCCAGGCTGATCTCAGGAACCAGAGCCTGGTCCCAGCCAGACCATTTTTTAAGGTGCTCTGAATGCTTTCTCACTCACACCCAGAAGAGAAGGCATGACCGGAGAGAACACAGTCCCCTTCCCAGGCCCTGCTCACCCATCAGCAGTCCCATGTTGAACCGGTAACGCTCTGCCAAGAGCTGGGGCCGGTGGCGATTTATGGCCACCTCCACCTATAGAAAGCCAATGCATATGGTTCAGGAAAATGTCCTTCAGAAACACATCCTCACCCCCGAGTCTTCCTGGGTAGAGAGGCTGAGCCACTCCTTTCCAGGGTCAGAACTAAGAAGGCAGCCAATGCCTGGGGAAAGACTCACAGCCTCCTCGATCTGCTCTGGGGTCACCATGATGCCCACACCACATTCCTGTG